AGAATAATGGACAAAAAAAAAAAAAAAAAAAAAAAAAATTTTAAAAAAACAAAAAAACAAAAAAAAAAAAAAAAAAAAAAAAAAAAAAAAAAACACTACAAAAAATCATAGAACACATTATCAAAAAGTACATTCTCCCCCCCCCCCCCTTATTGCATAAAATTTTTTTAATTCCTAATTTTAAAACTAATTTGTATATATAAAAACACATTCCCTCTCTCATGCACATATTCACAAAAAAAAAAAAATTTAACAAAAATCATTTTCTCAATAACATTCCTTGCATGTATGATAAAAAATTTTGATATATGTGTTCTCGGTTTTTTTGTATAATTTATGAACGATAATTTGATTTTATTTATTTTTTTATTCTGAAAGGGATATATATAAAGATATTATTATTAAGAGTACTTTAGAATGATTTGGGATTTATTTATTATTATTATTATTACTATTATTATTATTATATTACTATTTTATTTAGTTATATTTTCATATTATACAGTAAACAAAAAGAAATTTATATTTTTCTTTCAAAAAAAAAAAAAAAAAAAAAAAACAAAAAAAAAAAAACAAAAACAAAAAAATTTAATTATTTCCTCTCATATAATCATTAATCCCACCTTATATATTTTAATTTTTTTCATTCATTACATTATCCGTTTTTTTTTTTTTAATTTTTTTTTTTCCTATCTGATTCGGGATTTAATTTGATCCTTCTTCTCTCTTTTTTCTTGTATATAATGTATTTATCTATTATTTGTTTATATTAATTATCAACCTTTTGATTAAAAATCAAACCAAAATGTCCCTCGAGTAAGGTACCAAAAAAAAAAAAATTCTAATAAATTGACAAAAATCTTTTAACAGGCACAACAAAATTTACAAAGTTTTTGAGTGATTCAAAGACGCGTGCGTAAAAATTTACAAAGTTTTTTTTTTCATTGCAAACCAAAAAAAAAAATAATAAAGCTGCGTCTCAAACTTCGGGAAAATTACCATAACTTGTACAAATTAAATGTTTAAAAATTAATGGAAAACTCCGTAAATGACACCAAGCCATTTTCCGATTACTATAATTAATGTGACTATATAAGGGAAATTTAAGGGGAAATTATTAAAAATAATGAAAAGGTTGCCTCATTGTTTACATTTATAATCAAACTCCGTTAAAATTCCCGTTTTACGAGGCGCCACATGTAAATCTTACAGAATGATTTTTTTTTTTTTTTTTTGTTTTCGCACATGAATTGGAACTTTTTCGTTGATTAATTCTTTTCTTCTTGATGATGTTCCATAAACACCTTTAGATCAACTAAACCTTATCCCCTGAGTGCATCTTTTTGTCAATGGTTACTTTGTATAGAAAAATCCTTATGTTATAAACAGATAATCTCAAGGTTAAAAAAAGAACGATACAAAAAAAAAAAAAAATTTTTATTTTTAGTAATTGATTACGCGACTAAACCTCAACCTTAACCGGTTTCATTAATAAATGTCTAGTCCACCACGTTTCAAATTTAGTTTCAAATTATATTACATTGCCAAGGTAAATTTATTAATTTACTAAGCAAATTTGGGATATTTAAGGATTTTAAGGTTAAACTTCTACACGCTAAACCGAGGTAGGTACAGTGAGGCAACTAAATTCATTATGTAATTATGTAATTCCTCCCCTCCTTCTGTCATGAAACAATGAATTGCATCTGACGAATGAAATCACTTCCCTTTTTGTTTTTTTTTCTTTAATCTTTTGTTTGGGTTTTAACCTTTTTTTCTTGTCCAAATGTCAATTGACATTGTTCTCGTGATTGAATTTAGTTAACGCGTCAAAGGTTGGAATGGGCACCCCTGGATTTTTTATTTTAGTTGTTTAATTGTTTGATTGTGACAATGGCGATAATGAAAAAAAAAACCTTTTTTTTTTTTTTGTTATTTTTAATTTTTATTTTTATTTAATTCATATCCAAATTACATTAATTATTGAAGATTTTTTTTTTTTAAAAAAAAAAAAAAATCCACCGAAAAAATTGAAAAAATGAAAAAAAATAAAAAATAAAAATAAAAATGATTAAATATTATATTATATATAAAATATAAAAGGTTTTTTTTTTTTTTTGATGCGGGTTTTTTTTTTTAAAAAAACAAAAGTGTTATATACAAAAATAGTAAAAAATATTTGTTATTTATCATAATTGACAAAAGAAAATGTAATTATATGGTAATTTTTTGTCCCCCGTAATAAACAATCCCTTTTTCCATTTTTTTAAAAAAAAAAAAAATAATAATAATCATATACAACAACCCTCAAAAGGGTTCCCAAATAAAGCTTAAAGATGCAAAAAGAAAATTGATGCTATAAAAATGTACGTGTGAAAAATAAATATAGTATACAGGATAAATGAGATGTTTGAGAAAAGTTTTTTTTTTTCTCTTAACTCCTTAAAAAAAAAGTTGGATGGTGGTAATGATAATAAATAATATGGTGATATGAAATGAATATAAAAATATAAAACTTCAAACAAAAAAGTTTAGATATAAGTATATACAGAAAGTTGATCAGTAGGAGAATGTTGATGATCCAAAATACTTGAAGTACCGGTTTTCATCATGTTTGTGTCGTGAACTTGCTTTCTTTTGACACTGTTCTTAAACTTTTCCACTACTTTACGTTGAATTTCTAATTCTCTTTCCTTACGTAAATTATCGGCTTCTTCTATTAACCAACATTTTGAAAGTAATTTACATAATTTACAACTTGTCTTATCATGCAATTGTACCGCTATGGATTTGAATATTGAATCTACAACTTCGGCTCTTAAAAACAACGAATGTTTACCCCCTTCGATCATAGTTAATTTACAATTTGGCATGTTTCCCTCCATCCACTTCACAGCTGATGTGGGGATCCGATCATCTTTTGTACCATGAAAGACGTGCACAGGGTGATTTACATCCGTGTACGAAAATCCAAATGTACGCTTTCTTTCAAAGCACATCAACAAGTCGTTGTTCGCCCCAGCCAAATTTTCAGCGAATGAAGCTTTAAGGATGGCCAAACCAAGTTGTTGCTTTTTCTCGACGGTTGACATTGGAGTCGCCAAGGCTCCAGAATTCCTATGTGATTGTGGCTTAATTGAATAAGGTTGTCGTCCATGTATCATCTGCTGTAATGATATACCAGCTGAATTTGTAAGTTTCATAATTGGTGTAGGTACATATTGTAACCATTTAAAATTATTAGCTACTGTCGTGCTAACCCAAGGTGACACTAAATAAATTGTACCCTGTAATCTTTGGGGTATTTTCATTGCACATGCAAGAGCATATGGAGCTCCTGCACTATGAGCCATAATGAAAAATTTTGGTATTTCCATAATATCACAAAGTTCCTCTATAACATCTATTATATCAAAATGGAGAAACGTTTAAATTAGTAAAGGGTAATATAAATAAATCATTTTTTTTTTATTTTAAAAAAAAAAATAGGGGGTGGGAAATCAAAAAATAATAATAATTACCAGGCCATTTTAATACTTGTTGCTCTTCAGCTTTGACATCGTCAGACAAACCGATACCAGGACGGTCAGGGCATATTAATCTTAAATTATAACTTGTGGCCAAGTCATCAAAGAAGGCAATAAAATAACGCACACAACCCATTCCCAAGAATACGAAGACGGGATACCCATTTCTATCACCAACTTCTGAAAAGCTTACAACCCTTCCGGAACTCAGCCTAACACGCTGGGTCAAGCGTGGCGCAGCAAGAAAGGTGGTGATATCCATATTATTATTATTAGTTGTGTTTTCAGATGTGGGTGAGGTTGTGTTGGTCGCATTTGAGTTGGGTGAAGTTGTATTGGCCGTCGTATTAGCGGAAATTGTCGTTGTCGTGGTGGTGGTGGTAGTGGTAACGGTCGTTGTCGTTGTTGTTGTTGGAGATTGCATTTTCGTCGGAGAAACTGATTTACTGGAAGATTGTGAAGAAGGTTCTCTGGACAAATCTGTCGCTAGGGCAGGCGCGGGAGCAACGGTGGCAGTAGAGACGGGAAGTTGTTCCTCTTTGCTCACGAAAGATTTCCTCTTTGAAGAAAAGAAGGATTTATTTGCCGACTTTTTATGATTATAATTTTTTTCCACTGCCGAAGATTCAGAATTTTCAGCAGCAGTTTTATTTGTGGCCAGAGAGATGGGACGTTTCAATGATTTTGGTAACTTTGATTTTGAAGTCGCGGAATCGGATTTTCTACGTTGTGTAAATTTCTTTATCGTAGAAAATGAAGATTTTGTTGGGGAAGTTGGGGAAGATTTGGATTTTGAACCCTTAAATTTAGCTTTATCTAAGGATATTGATAGGGTCCTGGTTTTACTAGAGGCTTCACCACTACTTTTAGTGAAGGTTTTAATATTTGTTGAGGAGGTGGAAGACAAGGAAGTAGAGGAGGAAGTCGAAGACGACAAGGAGGCGGAAGAAGCACGTTCTGAATGTAGGTTCATAATTTACTGAATAAATTTGGTGAAATATTAGTAAAGTTTTTTTTTTTTTTTTTTATGGTTACAAAATGGTTGTTGTTAAACAAACCATGCGGTCGCAAAAATGTGTCATAAAGGAAAGGGCGAATAAAGTTTATGCAAAAAAAAATAAAATATGCGAGTGGGATAACCGCACAAAATGTGAAGCGAAAGGGAAGGTATAAAGATAAGCGATAGGAAGAGTTGGGTTGCAGTTGGGAACGTTAACACAACAGCGTTAAGAAGACGACCTTCCTTCCTTCGGATGCAAGATGCAAAATAAAAATACTCACAGTTTTTTTTTTTAATATCGTTTGGTAAAGATATTTTATGATACAGAAAATTCCTTTTAAAAAAGTTCGCCACCGGTATTCTTGATATGCACAAAATAAATTTTTTCTAGAGATTAAAACGCGAACAGATAAAATGAATTGCGCGTCAAAAGGAAGGGGAAAAGCAAGAAACAAGGTCTTTATAAAGAGAAAGGATATTAAGATGGAATATTAGAATATACTGTAGAAGTATACAGTTATAGTAACAAATAATATAAATTTTTAAAGTACAAATAAATAAATAAAAAAAAAAAAGTAATTTATAGTATACATGCATATATACACACGTACACAGTATATATATTTATATTTGTAAATGAACTAAAGGATGAAAGAGGAGAAAAAAAAAAAAGCAAAGAAAGGGGGAGGAGAAAGAAATAGATATTGTTTGGGAATGTTGTATTTTTGTTTGTATGTGTACTAATGCATTGCAGCTATTCGTGCTGAATTCACCCATCTTTCTCGACGATTTTTTTATTTTAAATAAATATACTAGTATAAAACACACCGCGTTTTAAAAAATATTGTTTCACTAATATAAACCAAAATATTTTTAAACTAAAATAAAAATTAAATTTCGAAAATGGAAGATAAACATCGATATTAATAAAAAAAGTCGATCCGACCAAGGTTTGATTGGTTTACAACGTGGTATTATAACATACCAAGTAAAGTAATAAACTATTACTTGTTACCAACAATTTTGAACTTTCAAGTGATACATTCATGGATATGCTGCCAGGGATGTATGATGATGACATGAAGTGGGCCCTTGATCTTTACCATAATCTACAGTAACTTAGATGATTAGGTATATAACTAGGTATATTGAATGTTCGTTTTGACGAGGAATTTCTTGATGAGCCCTATTGCATTACCAAATATGGTCGCAATCCCCAACATAATCAAAACGTACATGTTTCAGATATCACTCATCTAATAAATTTATATTTGGGATATACTGCGCATATATTAAATTTTGACGCACGCCATTTTCCTTCGCGGAAAAAGAAACTTTTGATCTTATTGATATGACGAACAAAGGAATTTCATCACAATATTTATTTCATAAAGTTTCCGCCGACAGAGACGTCAACAAGACTGTAATCGAGGCCCAATAAAACTTTAATTTAAAGAAGAGATCATCAGATGATGAAAATAAACATGCAATAACAAATCTATTTGTTTCTGCGCCAATATGAAATACGCGTAATAATAAAACCAGTTTTTTTGAAAATTTTTTTTTTTTTTTTTTTTCCTTCCATAAATCTAATAGGATTATCATAAAATCACATTCAGTATTACTAATAATGTATGAAGTAGTACAAAGTAGGTAAGAACATTTATTGCTCTCTATAAACCTAAATCTGGTGTCATTCATAAGAATACTTAGATATTCTAACCGAAACCTGGATATAATAATTGAACATCTGCAAAAAAAAAAAAATTCGCATCCTTGTCATTTTTATTCTTCCTTTGTGTCATTACCATTATTTGCATATTTGAAACGTAAAAAAAAAAAAAAAAAAAAAAAAAAAAAAGAAAAAAAGATGAAATAAATAATCTGATATAATATCGACTTTTATGTATAAGTATCAATAAATTTGATTAGAGAGTTAAAATGAGAAAAGGAAATTAATCAATGCAAGTTAGGAATACTTTGACCATGGCCTTAATGAGAGAAATACATCAATGAAAACCATTAGTGATCGAAGGACATGGTTTCCATTTATAATCATCATAAACAACCATTTTTTCTTGTGTTAAAGAATCAAGTTTCAAGATCGCAATCAAATAATAACAAAATAACTTCAGATTATGGTAATATTTTTACCTTTTTAAAGTCAATCATCTCCAGAATGTTTGAAGTCATTATTAAAAACAATAAACACTGATTTACCTAAACAATAGCTCGATATTTTTAACAAACAGCATTTTTGTTTACAAACTTTTTATTCGCCAAAATTATAATAAAGTTATGGTTTTGTGGGCTGGAAATTCTTTAAATTCTGTTTTTAAACTAACTATTAAAGTTGTTATAAGAATATTTTTGATTATAAATGATGTTTGGATAGATTGGATCATCTGCGTCGTGTTACTTATACAACTTTAATAATAAAACCTTATTAAGGTTCCCACAAAATGTGTAATTCGGGTCCTTTGAGTTAATAGACGCAGCAGCATTGTGATTCTTGCTAGAAAACGGCTCAAATATTTTAGAATACCCTGTGATAAAAAAGATTTACGATACATTTACAGATTCGACGTATGTGAGCGAATTATCTAAGAAATCGTGGCATATGGTCAAGGCGATGTGAGTTGCTTTTTTTTTTCTTTTTCTCTGAGAATTGACCATGTAGAAGTGAAGTGAAAGGGGCATATAGCATAACTCACGGAGTTGATGTATATGCTGTGGAATGTGAGCCACTTTAACATACCTGTCGACCCACTTATGTAAAGTGTGTGTACATCTGTACAAAATGAAACTCCGTATATTCCGGCTTATTATTAAAAAACCATAATCTCTGTATCTTGTATGCATAGTGTTGATTTAATAAGAATTCCTTAAGGAAATGTCTTCCACGATAAAACAAATGTTTCGCGCCAACTGGTATATAAGTTCAAATATGGGCAACCACTCTCTCCCCGCTGGCGTAAATGAATGCACATTCGCACAGTTCATAAAACATACACGTCAAAGCTTCGTAGCTTATATTCCTTGCATTCAATCTCCATCTAGACTCGAGGATTTCGCATCGCGATAAGGAAATGAGCAATGTATTATGTCCTCATCATGCTTTTCCTGCACATAACATTCTACCTTATTTTGTAACTTTTTTTATTAGGATCATTTATAATTATTGTATTAGTATTATTGTATTATTGTATTTTTTTTTTTTTTCTTTTTTTAACTTAATTTGGAAACCAGCTTAATATTGTCTTGTACGTGTTACATTCATTTCAACTTTTATTCGAATATTAGGTTACGCGAATTTAAACTATCAACATTGAATACAAATACGGTCTGTATATTCGGTAAAAGAAACTCACGTGCTTAATTAAATTTTATTTATTAAGTTCGAAAACAAATAGGGTTCAAATTTTACAAACATTATTTGTTTTATTTTTTTTTGTCCGTATATAGTAATATAGAAGCATATATAAAGCTAGTTTCTGATTCTTAATCCTTTGTTAATTTGAACCTCTTGTTTTAATAAAGTAATTATTTTAATTAATTTGTAAATTGGTATTTGTATCATTTATGTTTGATAATTATATTTTTTAATTAAATTGTAAATCTTTAATATATTTAATAAATGTAATAATTTTTGATAAATTAATTTTTTAAATTATCAAATTATTTTTAAATATTTATATTATATAATTTATTAAATTTATAAATATTTTTTTATATATTTTTTTAATTTTTAAAAAAAAAATGGTTTAAAAAAAAAATCTAAAACTAAATATGTAAAATAATAAATTTATATTTAAAATATATAAATTTCAGTTTAATAAGTTTTAATTTAATATAAGTTTTACTTTATTTAATTTTATTTCTTATTAAATTTTACAACCTTTTTAATAAAATTTAATATATTTATATCTTATATATATAAAAATTTAAATTAAATTAAATTATAATACTTATTATAATCTTATACATATTACTTTTATTTTACTAAATTATTATAAAATTTAAAATTTTATTATATTAAAAATATAATAATTTTTTTATAATTTATAATATATAGTTAAAGCTGGTTATAACGAATTTCTTTATAATGAACGCTGGATATAACGAACTCATAATTTTTAAATTTTAATAATAGTTCATTATAAAAAATGTAATACTTCATATAAAAAGCATAGTAATTTATATAATGAACCTTTTTTTTAACAGAATTGTCAGTTCGTTATAAAGAGCATTAACTATATACATTTATAGTAAAAGAAAAAAATTATCCCTTAGATTGTAGAAGTTTGTAAGCAAATTTGCCTGCTTATTTACTATAAATTCCCTTTTGATTTACTTTTATAAAAAATTAAAAAAATTTTTTTTTAAATTAATTTTATTAATATGTATTATATTATAGTAAATTTTATTTTTTAATTAAATAATAAATAATTTACAGTTACTTATAAGCTAAAAATTTGTAATTTTTAAAAAAATTATAAATTAATAAATTTCATTATTGACCTTTGACAATCTTATTAACATTTACTTTTAACAATATTAATTATAATGATTATAACAAAATATTATAAAATTTATCATGAAGAATAACTTTAATTATTATACTTTTATAATTTACTAAGAAATTTTATAACCTTTATTAGTAGTAAAATGATTCAATTAGTTCGCAAACATATAATTTTTTAAAAATTATTATAATAAATTTTTTAAAACTTAAATTTAAAAATTAAATCATTTAAAAAATATCTTATAAACTTAAAATTTCTTCTAATAAAATTAATAAAATATATATTAAATTATGTTTTTATATAATTATTATATTATTAAAATTAATATTTAATATTTATTAAAAAAATAATACATTATTTTAAGTTTACAAATAAATTTTCTGCTAAACAATCTAAAGAATAAAACAAATATAATTGTCTTATATATTAAATAATAAAATATAAATT